TCCCATTGATCGGTATTGAATGGGTTCTCGGCTCCAAAGGACAGGCTCTCGTTCATTCGGCTAAAGATGATCTGGTTGCCAATGACGCGCCATTGCGCACCACGGGTGGAGCTGTCGCGAAGAGTGCGATAGAACCAAGTTTCCTGGCGAGGTCCCATCAGGGAGCGACTTGCTTCATTCTTGATGGAGTTGACGTAGTCAGTGTTCCAATAGACATCGGTGATCTTGGCATGTTGGTTAGAAGGTGATTCGAAGCAGCGGGATGAGCGTCACGGGTGACTGGAATGTGCTTACAGCTCGGTCATATTGCCGTGTGTCGAGCATGATCAAATCGAAAAGGTTGCCGAAGCTGAAGTCTCTCCAGATACGGAGGTTGTCATCCATGTCAACTTGGCGGATTGGCACTGCGAAAAATTAGTTGATGTTCATACTCGGTCGAGCAAACTGTGACGGACTCCACTCAAAATACGCACGAACAGCGTTCATCTTGCGCTGGTCAACAGAGACGCCCCCATCCATGATGAATGACTCTTCAGTGTTATTCAGCTCTGAAGCTCCATCTCTCCACGTATTGTCGGAAACCTCTGCGTCTCGTTAGCCTGGCTCAATGACATGAGTATGGCCACACTGACCATGGTCATCCCAGACTGGAATCCACGGAAACTGTTGATGGCTGGCAAGCAGATCCAGATCCGTTCTGTAAGTTGCCAAGCGCTTTCGATAATCGTAAAGGCTTTTGATAAGTCAGCAGGTCATGGTTCAGATGTGAAAACACTGTAAGCGAGTACTGACGTATAGATTTGGCGGTCAGGCAGCGGAATGCGGTCCAGAGAGTTACCCCATCCGTACTCGCCATTCCCATACTCGTAAATGTAGTCACCTAAATGGACGACGTAGTCGACTGAGTCCTTTCTCACCGGGTTCCCATAAGCGTTGAAAAAACCAAAAGCTGCATAACCATCAGTTTTTAGAAATTGCTTGCGGTCGAATGAGTAAACCCACGGAAGTTGCTGCAAGAGTACACGGCAATTCTCACAGGAGAATCAACCTTTGCATCCTTGGAGGGAATCGTCTTGGTACGGCCGACGGGCGAAGTATTGTTGGAGTCGCAAACGGAGAACTGGTAGTCTAGGAAGCGTTAAAATACAATAATCAGGAACTGATGAGGCATATACTTGCAATAGACGGTGTATGGTGCCAGTTTCTTGGCCTCGACCTTGACGGTGAAGTCAACATCGGAACTGGTGTATGCTGTGCCGGAGTCCACGACCGTGTCAAGCTTGTCGTCCGTTGCAATCTTCCAGTCAATACAAACTGGAGAGTCGCTCTTCTGCACATAGTTGTCGGTACTGTGGTCATAGAGAGGAACGTAACCGGAGACGGTTACGTTACTTTTGTCGTTGTCCATGTTAGGAGCGACGCGTGTCCAGAGAATGACACTATCATCGTAGGGATCGCCTGATGCAACTCCATGGGTGAAGTTGAGCTTTGCCGGATCCCATGGAGAATTCGCATACGTGCGCTTTGCCACCTTCCTGATGGAGATGCCAAGAGATGCATGGTGTTTGGACGGCGAAAGATAGTTCAAGTTCCCAGTGAAGGCCGCCGACGCCGTGATGGCAAGGGCAAGGGCACTGACCGCAGATTGAAGCATGATGGCGACGTAAACAATCTGCAACCGACCAAAAATGAGCGAAAGCTGCTGCTGCCAAAAAGGACCGCCACTTGAGTGTTCTAGTGAAAAACCGTCGCCTTTATGAAGAATCCAATAGCGTGGAGTTCTGCATCTCGAACTGAGACTAGTTTCCGGAGCTTCCAGTCAATCGGGATATGGAAGCTCGCCGTCTACACGCCTCCAAGATGAGCAAGCTCAAGCTCGTGGGTAATCATGTGACAGATGATTGGGCAATTGCGTTCAAAAAAAGACGGCAACTCGACAATCTCGCGTTCGATGACGACTTTGCTCAAGGATTATGGTTGTAGCCACCGCGATGGACCTATCAAATCGGGGTCTGCGCCGGTGGTGAGGACAGCATATCGACTAGGCACGGAGATTGCTGCATGGGACGAATAGGATGCGCAAAGAAGCTGGTACGGTTGTACGCTGATCATCGGCACGTGTCGCAGGTCGCATTGGTAATTGGACGGGCTTGGCAGGGTGGGGATTGCGGACCGGTTCATCGGTGACAGATCATCAGTATGGCCACTAGCAGCATAATGAATGTGGGATAAAGTTGGTTGTCTTCCTTAGTGTAATCTGCTGGTCCTGCAGTAGATCTATATAAACGATTGGCGTATATCCCTTGTAAGGTAATCCTGGCTTGAATATGTAGTTAACTGAGTAATGACTGTAAGCGGTGAGTCTCATATAAGCGAGGGCATCCTTGGTTCTGTCAATCGGCATGTCATCTTCACCGGAGTTCTTTGGAACCGCGGTTGAAATGTCCGATGTTTCCTAGACACGGACTGACCAAGACATCCTGCGCAATGCTTGTTCATCCCGATAAATGATCAGCATATCAGGAAAGAGACGACCGTTGTCTTATCAATTGATAGGAGAAGTTTGTATGGCATTTTGGGTCTGTACGATGGAAAAGACGCAGACCAAATCGGAATTAAATGATGACAGCGAGGGGTTGAACATCCTAAATCGCGTCTGCCAGCTATGTTTCCCAATCATTATCGGCAATATCCATCTCCAACAACCTTAGTTGCTCCTCTTCGTCTTCATCGAGAACCGGAACGATGATACCCCGCGGAACGAGGTCCATTTCATCCCACACACTGTCGTTTCCGTTGACCACAACTGTATCTCTTCCGTCGCAAAGTATCTGCTTTCCCGAGTTGTTGGAATTCTCCAATACTTGGCATGTAACCCATGCCTTTCGATGCTCAAGCCATGGAGCCGTGTATAGCGGCCCATCATGCGATCTCTCCCAGTCTCCAGCAAAGAGCTTCAGCTCAATCAACTCCTCGCCCACTTTTTGTCTGCGCAAAAGTTCGAAAATTTCCATCCCAGTCGTTTGGTTTAGCAATGGACGGGCCATGTTATCTAAGTCTTCACCTTCATCGCTCAACCATGTACTTCTTCTAGGCCACGCCGAGCTTTCGTGTTGTCTTCGCTGCTCACTGGCAAGCTCCAAGTATATTGTGAGTCGCTTTAACCGAGGGTAGTGCGCGGCCACTGATTGCAGCTGTTCCACTGGCCAAGTGCCATTTCGGTTGAGGTCGATGGTCAATTCTTGTAGATTTGGCGCCAAATCACCCAGGGAGGCAAGCTCCTCTGCCGTGAGAACCTCCCGTTGATGGTAGGAGCTCTCGGGCTCTCTTAGTTCGAGACGAGCAAGCGAACGAGCATGGTGCCCCACTACGTCAAGCACAAAATGGCTCTGCCTACATCCGCAGCCAGAAATCCAAGAAAGATGCTCCAACGAATCGCGTGGTAGCCCAAGAACGAATTCTCGGACATGGTGAACTCCCCGAATCGTCAAGGACGTCAAGGACTTGAGGAGTGGGGGGAGCCGAATGGCAACGACAGACTGCCCCCTGATGTCTCTCAGCGCAAGCTCTCGGATATGGGAGAAGTCCATTGCGTCTATCCACTGATCGAGGTTTGTCTTATGCTTCTGGTCATCGGGAAGGTCGCGCCATTTATAATACCTAGTCGCCAAGTCGGACATGTACCACCAGAAGTAGTTGCCAATGCCATCCGGAGCCCAGCTGTGGGGGTAAGAGGGAAATAGCTTGCTAGGTGGCTGAACCCTATTCCGCTCCTGGTAGCCAAAGTCGTAGCCGTCAAGTCGGAGAGACTCGAGTTTGAACGAATAACGAGAGCCGGCAGGGAAGTCAAATGGGAAGTTGTACCTGTGAGGATGGCTAGAACAACCAAGCAGAGTGACTCGAAGTTTGATGCTCTTAAGAGTGGTGCTTTTGGAAAGAAAGTCGTGGACTTGTTGCATTGTGCGAAGAGGAGACCGCCGCGGTGGGAATTCCTCACGCGTCGTTTCCAGACCGCCTGGAATCGTGGTATCAATTTCTAACACCTCATCTTGGGGCATCGTTGAAGCCATCGCTGAGATTGAAACGCAGGAAAAGATGCCGCAAAATACTTCAATGAGCGTGACGTTCTGGCGCATGCGGCATGGCCTTATGCAATCAGATAATTATGAGCTTTCTCAAGATAGATTGCAGGCTGAAGCTGTAAATCACTGCCTAGTGTAGCTGACGAGTTTTGCTTCAGAGTTTCGAGCAAAACGAGAGTAAAGTATGCCTGTTGCAAGATGTTTGCTACATTCTACGTCATTTCTAGGCACCAACGACGGTTGGCCCAATGCGATTGGCCCCTTGGCAACAAGCCTTAGCAGCTCAAGAGCCTTGTTAATAACACCGATGATGAGATATTGGCGACTGGTAAGAAGATGGTATTATCTAGGCGGATTTTGCATCAAATCAGCTACGCTATTGACAAAATCGTGTTGATTATGTCACAAACAAGATGCATCTCAACGAATAGCCATGCCTGCCATCTTAAGGGTAGTGCAGCCCAATCGGAGATCATTCCGACGAGGCGAAGGAACGGAGAAGACGGAGAAGACACCGCTGAACTCTGATATAAGAATATCTGCCAAGCCCTTGGCGCGGCAGTCCATATTGAACACTGATTGGATGTGATTCTGAAGCAGGCCAACAATTGGATGATGGATCGCCGTTTATATGGATCACTGAGGTCTTGGCGTGCTCGTCGATTTTACCTGGAAATACGTATACTTTGTGCCGCATCCCTTTCTTGGCTGAACAGGCAGAGAGGCCGCCTTGCCACGCCTCAGGCCGAGAAGGCAGTAATAGTGGGTGCATGTGCCCTGAAATAAACAACACCCCCCTACTGCGCTTCGATTTCCTGCAACCTCAACACCACACAACCTCTCATCGACCACGCTCCCATCAGTGCAACTTGAAGTCATATCCAGCCCCCGTGCATTATACTACCGCCTCACCAAACCATGTGGAAGCCGAAGCTGAATTTTATATCCCTCCACTGTAAGTTATACCCCTAGCTGGCATAATTATGCGCCTTGTCACCGCCCACATTTTCCCTCGTTGAATATGATGTCCATGACCACTCAGCTAATGGCCCATGTTTATTATCTCCAGACACCTGGATTCTATTTTGCAGCCTGCTTTCATTTCCTGTGCTGTATCCCGCGGGAAATTTAGCGGCGATAGATGTCTTTTTCTTTGGTGCCAGTGGTTCGACCGAATCGGGTCTCAACACGTAAGTCATCAAGTTACTTGATTGCTGTGTCTTTTTCCTTCGCATACCTCATACTGACCATGACATAATAGAATCGACGTCAAGGACTTGAAGACTTACCAGCAAGTGTTCATCTATGTGATCCCCATGATCACTAATCTCATGTTCATCAACATTGTGGTTGTCGTGGCGCGTCTCTACTGGTTCCAGCAGCGACTGAGGAATATTGGTAAGAACTGAATGCGTCTTCTCTCAACGCAGCATTCCCAGCTTGGAAATGCTGACGCCGCACTCACAGCCAATGAGCGAACCCTAAGCCGGTCTGCCGAAGATCTAGAAGCGGGTCCTCCCGACCAGCAAGCCGAAGTGAGAGGTCGCGAAAGCGCCTTAGATAAGACACATGCCCAGCACAATGCTGTTCAAACTGGCCCTTCGGAATCGAAGGAAAATGAAGTCGTGGATAAGGAGTTTGCGTCTGGTCCTAGAGCAACCACCATTACCTTTGAGGATAATCTCCCCAACCGCGGCCAATCCAGTCCCGAAAACGCAGTCCTCCACGTGCCAGGACCTCGAGACCGTGATGATGGTAGGTAATCAGTCAGTTTCACCTTTCGTGGGAAGCGGGCTAAGATCTTTTGCGCACAGGTCAGTCGATGATTGAAATTCGCCAAGATAGAGAGAGCATTGATGGTATGTCATGGGTTCTGTCAAGGTCATTCAAAGCCACTGACCCGCCGTTTCAGACATTGATGCCATCCGTCCCGTTGAACCAGTCGCAAGTGGCTTGTCTCGGCGAAGACCTCACAACATGGAAGGTCCTGCAATGCGCGCCGCTCGCTCAATGGAGAAAGTAGCGTCGTCTGTTCTGGTGCTCGGTCACTCAAAGTCTCTCGACCGTGAATCGAGACGTTCTGACTTGTCCACGCGACCCCGGCCACCACGCACAGCAGATCTCCCCTACTTGTCTCGCCAGGTCACTGTCGGCCGCAATTCCCAGTTCTTCCACCTCACAGAGCGAGATCGTGAGCTACTTGGCGGCATCGAGTATAGAAGCTTGAAGCTCCTTCTGAAGATTGTTTTTAGTATACGCCTGCATAACCCCCCCCATGATCTAAACAGATTTGGCTGATTTAGCGGTAGGTTACTTTATCGGGCTTCACGTTTTTGGAGTCATCTGTCTCTTGCCTTGGATTCTACATGCTCCCCAAAAGTACCAATCATGGCTTTTGGAGAATGGACAAGGTCAAGTATGGTGGGCCTTTTACTCTGCCCAGACTATGGTTGATAATCTCGGGTTCACCCTGACCCCAGACTCGATGTCGACGTTCAAAGACGCCACCTGGCCAATGCTCGCCATGACCTTCCTTGCTTTTGCGGGAAATACGATATATCCAGTGCTCTTGCGACTAGTAATCTGGGTCATGTCAAGGGTCGTGAACAAGAAGTCGGCCACGAAAGAACACCTTGAGTTTCTGCTCGACCACCCCCGCAGATGCTACACTTTACTCTTTCCGAGCCGACCCACCTGGATCCTGTTCGGCATTGTCTTCTTGCTCAACTTCATTGACGTTTTGTTGATCATCGTTCTGGATTTGGACAACCCTGCCGTCAATGATTTGGCAATGGGGCCTAGAATCCTATCAGCTTTATTCCAAGCTGCGTCATCACGCCACACTGGCACTTCGACACTGAACCTATCCCTGGTCAACCCCGCCGTGCAGTTCAGCTTGTTGTGCATGATGTACATCGCGATCTTCCCAATAGCGATTAGCATTCGGGCATCAAACACCTATGAGGAACGAGCCCTTGGCGTCTACGAGGCCGACAGCCATCTGGATGAAAATAACGGGGCTTCGTATGTTATGACCCATGTTCGAAACCAATTGAGCTTTGATCTCTGGTACATCTTTCTTGGTACATTTTGCATCTGTATCGCAGAATCCCAGAGAATCATGGATCTCAATGAACCAGTGCGTACCAAATTCACCCCTATCTAAGCCAGTGCTAAGACTTGATTTTGCAGGCATTCTCAGTATTCCCGGTCTTTTTCGAAGTAGTCAGCGCATAGCAAGTAACCCACCCCTCTCTGAATGCTTTGTATCGCTCACTTTACCCGTAGTGGCAACGTTGGGTTGTCCCTTGGGCACCCTTCGGTCATGACATCGCTTTCTGGCGAGTTCACTACTTTCAGCAAGCTGGTCGTTTGTGCCATGATGATCCGCGGTCGACACCGGGGACTGCCATATGCCTTAGACAAGGCCATCATGCTTCCAAACGAAGGCAGCCCCCGACAAGAACATGGGTTTGGACCTGTTGAAAGCAAAGCTCGCGCAAATACGGCAACAATTAACGAGACTCTAGCCGAAGCTGCTCCAGCAAAGCGGCACCTGCAGTAATGCATGCCATCAAGGGTTGGACTTGCTCTTGAGGAAGCATTTGCATCCTTCTGAAACATTCGTCTCATGGAGCCAGGATCGAGGCATCGTAGCAGATAGAAAGTTGATAATACAAGAGTAGTCTGAAGTCCTATGAGCACCCTCAATGATCTTGTGTGTTGGCCTCCGCGCTAAGTGCCCTACGGTATTGCGCATAATGGATAAGGTCTGTGACACGAGTTGCTTGGCAGCCTGAGAAGGATCTTTCTGTAGGCAATGATTCGGTCAGACAGCGCAAGAAGAGTCGATGATCACTGTTTAAGTAGAAACTCCGGGGATTTCAAATCAAGCCAGCCAAGGTTGGGGTCCGACTGTTTCCAACCCAGACGATCCTGTGCAAGTTTCGAGTATGTCTTGACCTCTTCAATCGGATAGCTGAGAAATGGAATTTCCTTCATACAATTTATTAGCTCGGCAAGTCCTTCATAAACAACTAGTGAGTTGAGGAGCTGGCCTACCTCTTGACGATGAACGCCACTGCACATGAACATGATGTGTACGGTGCGACATCCACTTGACAAAGAATACTCCCCAGCCCCATGATAAAGACTGCCCAGCATGATGAATGCCTCTCCAACTCCCAGTTCGGCATTCTCAACTCCCTTCGTCCCGTCTGGCCCAAAATCTGGCTTCTCATCGCCCCAAAGGTGAGAGCCAGGAACGATGCGGGTTGCACCATTCGCCTCAGCTGTGTCGCACCCGGGAACAAAAAGACCCAAGAGCATGTCTCGACCTTTGGAATACTCATCCGCTTTGACATGTTTGGCATGGTGATTTTTATCATCACGATGAAGCTTTTGCGCTTTGCATCCAGGTTGCGAAGACATGGTGATAGATATCGAAAGAAGAGGATCGGATCGCTGCACCTTTGGCTCATCGCCATACCAAATTTCAGTTTCAAGGCCGATGAAGTGATCGGCAAGGCTCTGTCGAACATGATTTCGTAAGCAACGAAAGTCACGATGATGTATAAGATAATAGTTCTCAACATACCTGAAAAAGGGCATCAGAGAAGAACTCTTCTCGCACTGTCTGGCTTCGACCTATCAGCCTGGTGCATGTAGCAGTTCCTCCATTCAAAGCGCCAACTGTGCTTCCCGATTGAGCGAGGGAGGCATCGAGATGCGACTGAACTTCTGCATTCGCTGCCTTAATCGACGACAAGTTGGCAAAGTCTTTGACGACGACACACCCATCGCGTTCAATGGCACCGATGAAAGATTGCAAGCTGGCGTCTCGGGAAAGTCGCTGCACCATTTTGATGTTTTGCAATAGTAATTAGGAGCTGAACCTGGTGAGTTGATTGTTCAGCTGGAGTTGGGCTGTATGGTTGGAGAAGAAAAACGGTTTGGAAAGGTCACTTTTGACTGGCGAAACTGACATTATATGGGTCAAATTGTTCCTGCCGTGGCCTTCCACACACGGAACAGGCAGGTTTGAGAGGCCGAAACGGGTCTGATTAGCAGGTACAAAAGTACTCTAAGATTATGACTTGACCAGGGTCGCCGGAGATAAGTTGAGGACTACCTATCTATCTTGCATATGTAGGCGCGACAGCGTATTGGTCCCTGAGATATTCATCCGACTGTGAGCCAGCGGAATACTAAAATGCGTGCGGTCGTCCAGACCAGAGCACTTCAACCCGACATCATACGCAGGCAGGCGCCTGACCTCTCATGCCAAGCTGTGGATCGGCTAAAATGCCGAATTTCATCATTGACGAGAGCTGACTGGATTAGCTAAGCTTTGCAGACGGACTTAAAACCGGATCCTGGATTCAGGCGATCTCTCAGCTGATTACAAACTGCGAGAAGCAAAGGCGGGAAAAAATGGCCGAACCATCTCCATCCTCGAATGGCGATGCGACTGGGGTTGAGCAGATGGCAAATGACCTCTTCAAAATTTCGTTAACGGAGCAAAACAAGGCAAATTTGTTTGTAGATGCTTTGGATCGACTGGCCTGTACTCACGAAGAGGCCGAGATTACCCTGCGCAACCTCCAAGCTTGGGCACCCAACGTTGCCGAGTCATTCTCGCAGCGAACTTCAAGCACCATAATTCAAACGCCCTTCCGAGTAATCTGCTCAAAGCAGCCGGTTGAGAACCCAATTGGAACCGCGACGGAACCCACTCCTCAGGGCACGCATCCGTTCGACGCTGGCTTTGTCCTCAGACATTACCTCGCCATCAGCTACAGCTGGCATAACTCAGAATGGCCCGCCACACCCCATTCGGCGCCCGCTCCTGGCAGTATTTGGCCCATTGGCAAGCGTTTCGCAGAAGCCATCGTATCTGAGCGTGGGCATATGCGAGAAGGTATATGGATGGATCAGATCTGCATCGACCAAGAAAACAACAGCGAGAAGCAGCTTGCCATCGCGTGTATGGATGTTGTCTACAGGACATGCAGAAAGCTAGTGGTTCTTCTTGAAGATGTTGAACTTACAGAGGATGAAGCTGAACTGTGCCGAAAGTATGAAGCCTTCGCCTATAAACTTGATCACCGGCCGCAGGACACCATGGAAGCCACTCTGCTTATATCGTTGCATGATAAAGTTGCGGCGGCTCGATGGTGGCAGCGATCTTGGTGCTTTCACGAATTCGTTGTTGGTGAGCCATGGAGCGACAAGAGGCACCAAAATGTCCACAATACTGTGTTTGTGATTGGTCTCGGCGAGACAAGAACTCTGAGGGTGGACTGGTCGACTTTGCATTCCATCTTAGCAACAGTCACCCTTCAACTAGGCCATCGAAACGAACACAGTCAGTACCTGAACCCGATTCTTGCCGGCTTTTCAAATCGGACTTCTCCCCTTATGGAGAGCCGCCACCCTCGAGCCGGTGCCCTGATTTCTAGCTTCATGGCCCGGTTCAACGCCGTGTGTCAGACAGCGTGCACAATGCCTGGCGACAGACTTTCCGTATGCATCAACCTGATTGGAATCGGCCTGGCATATTTTCGGCAGCATGAGCCCACTGAGGACGAGGTGTACCACCTTGCTGTACTGCTATCACTGGCGGCAGGAGAAAAGGTCGTTTTGTCGTTCGTTAATTCAGAGCCGCTCAAAGTTTCAGGGAAACTGTCATGGATGAATAGATCCATCGCGGCAGCTGATACGACACTGGACAAGTTTGCTCTTGGAAATATCAAAGGCATTCACAATGTTTCTGCAGACCGGTTGGAACTTGACATGATGTTTTTTACTGGCTCATTTACAGGGTGCAGCGAAGAACAAATGAACGCAACGTACAGAATCTTCCCGGGCGCTATCAAGAGCACTCTGCCCCCCCTCAAAACAGAAGCCATTCGAATGCCAGCATTCCGTACCGACGAGGAAATGGAAGTGCCACGTCGTCAGTTTTTAGCTTCAATATTGGCGGGCGGGACTGGCCTTGCAAAACGTATCTGGTCCCAACTCCAAGGCGAAGTGATTCGTTGGAAATACAACACCGGGATCTTTGCGGATTTCGAGATTAACGACGACCTCCGAATGCCGTCTGAAGAGCTCCGACGGGATCTCCAAGAGAGATCGAGAGATGAAGAGGACGCGTACTCCATCGAAGAGGCTCTCGGTCTCGTAACATGGATCACCGACCCGCGGTCGATCTACTGGATGTCTGCTCCTATAGCCCGAATCAAATCTACAATGGAGGGAGACGTTGCAATTCTCAGTCAATTCTTGTTGACGCAAAACTTCAGTGCAGTCAGCTCTGAAAGTCAGATGCAAGTTGCCGTTCCAACCGACCTGGTAGATGGGGATTGCGGATGGACCAGGGCATGGATTCTGATGCCATCGACCAGCGGGAATCAGAATCAGGAATGGAAGGTGGTGGCTAAAGCACTTTTGCTGGGCGAAACCGACCTCGGCAAAGAGGCAAGAAGGAAGGCAGTTGGAGGCACCGGCCTAGCCGTCTCAAGTAGACCAGGACAAGTTGTGTTGGGATAATAGCAATGCATTGGATACTTGTATGGCAGCTGTGATACAACGATAATAAACAAAGCGCCCGCCGCGGCCTCTCCATGGGTGCAGATTGTAATCTACGATTTTCTCTACAACCAATCAGTGAGAGGATGCATTATGTTTAGATCCTTGATGGTGAAAGGTAGTGTATGGTCAAATTGAGGCCGCAATAATGTCGCCCAAGTTGCAGAGTACCCAACCGCACCTCGTTTCCAGAGCCATGGAGTTGGAATGTTCTTTTGAAGATACAGAATGATCTACTCCATATCTAGTACTTTACTATGGAATAACTCTGATTGAAGAACATTTTAGTCGCTTGCCCGCAGCTCTGGAAAATGGACCAAAAGGGCTGGAGGTGACGGCGTAGCGTTGGGAACGCTTCACAACGATTTAACAATAAGTCATTAGCTTAATCTCTCTTGCAGGTGAAACAATGCTCGAGCACAGACCATATACCAACGGACTCGCTAGTAATAAGCATGTTCCCGTTGAGTTATGGTCAGCTTGCCGCAAGACAAAATACATGAACCAAGCCACGAATCCTACGACCGACGGACTTTAATGTGGATACGGGGCGCAGTGGAATGGAACAGACTAAGAAAAAACGGCGGACATAGAGACACGTCATCCCCATCAGCTGCTGACAGTGTGACAGTCTCCTTTGAAATTTCTCTCTGGCACTGAGCTTGTCGCTGCCTTCGATTTAAGCGACCCGCGCTATCTCATCACATTCTCGAAGGTGTACTTTTGACCTTGTGCTGTTTTGTTTGCCACATGTCATTCGCCATAATCTTTGGAGATCAAGGGCTTGGGGCATAATCGTGTACTATGATCCCCGAGAAGCGAATCCGCAAAAGCACGTCCAAAGTCCGAACTGGATGCAGCACCTGCAAAGCCCGCCGAGTCAAATGCGATGAAGGAAAACCAATTTGTCGACGTTGTGCTATTGGAAATCGGAAAGGCGACTACAGAACAACACGTGCGGCACCGCCACGCCGTAACGTCATCACGGTCTATCTGCCCACTACGAAAAGTCAACCAGTATTCGTCGCAAGCAACAGGGGCCTCGATTTCTTCTCACAGAATCTTGCCTCAACTTTAGATGGACAATTCGATTCCGAGTTCTGGAGCAAGCTTGTCTTGCAACTATCGCATTCCGAACCTTCAATTCGACACGCGGTATCCGCCATCAGTCTCATCTATCGTGACGTCGAATCATCTTTGCAGCATCCGGCAGGCTTTGTCAATGCCAACCCCGAGGCTCGGAAAGAATGGAGTTTCGCAATTAAGTCTTTGTCAGCGCGGATTGAGACTCAACCCAACTCTATCTTGGTTCCTTTGGTTTGCTGTCTTCTATTCACGTGCATTGAGTTTCTCAGGGGCAATGCCGAATCTTCCATGATTCACATTGATAGTGGTTTCAGCATTCTGGCGCCTCTCCGCCCCAACGGTGAAGGATCCCAAGACTCCACCTCAGAGCTTTTGGCTCAGGATCTCGACGACATCGAAGATTATATTGTTCCAATGTTCTCGCGTCTTAGCGTACTGTGTTGTCTTGCTGGGAGGGTAACCCCAGCGATATACGCACATTCGGATGAAGGAGACTCTCCTCATAAAGATCTTGATAGTGCCAGACGGCGACTGTTCGATATATCAGACACCTGCATCCGTTTCATTCGCGCAAGCGGTCCCAAAGCGGATGCATTTCAGATTGGTATCGAGGAGCTTATTGAACAGGCGAAACTTCAAACAAGGCTAGACGCGTGGCACCAGCGACTAGAGGACATGCTGCAGCGCATCCAGACTATCGGTAACCCCATCAATCAGGACGCAGTCAACATACTCTTAGTAAACTACAAGGCCATTTACATCTGGACGCGAGTCTGCACCACATCTCAAGAAACGGCCACGGATACTTATCAAGCCGACTTCGAAGAACTTATACATTATGCGGAACAAGTCATCAAGCCAAAGGAGGAAATGGGAACATCGCAACTCCTATCTTTCGACGTGTAACTGTTGGGGCCCCTCTTCTACGCTGCGCTGAAATGCCGTCATGCCGCAGTCCGAAGACGAGCTTTGGAATTGTTGAGGCTAGCACCTCCACGAGAAGGCTTATGGAACGCCCATCACGCATACCTCACAGCCAAACGAGTGATCGAGCTGGAAGAAGAACATCTAGACCGACATGGTTTGCCAGACGAGACTTCCAGACTCCATGGCTTGCCACTTCCTGATGACGAGTCGCGGATCTACAACGTATGCGAACTGCCTTTTGACTTTCGGAAGTTCGATCAAAGCATCGTGCCTAGCCCGACTTATCCAGGCACGCTTGAAGCAATGTTCCAGACTAAGCCGTGGGGCCTGCTAGGGAGGTTTCAGACAATCACGGAATACATCAAGCTATAAACCAGGGAATACATGTCAGCCATTGTCGGGGTCAAGGCAAAGACGAGTAATTGACCAATCACTTCTTAAGTTCCATTGCTAAAACTCCTCTCTAAATACACTCTAGTCTATCGATCGACAAAGGCCTAAAGAAAATGACAAGGAAATCTAGACCTAGACTCCACTATCGCACATTCGCTTACAGCTAAACGATATCAAGCGGGATGATTCTGTATGTCTTCCATGGACGAGCCGCTCGCGGTAAAAGCAGCATCTCTGGACTGCTTGATCGACCAGGTTGCACTGTTCCACTTGCCACCAAACGCAATACCCGGGCTCAAAATCGTCATTGCAAGAACTGCCAGGATGATCATCGGTCCCTCCAAGATCATAAACGACACTTCGTCGTTGGCAATGGGTCCGTCAAAGCCTTGCTGGAGTTCCGCAACACGATATACCGAGCGGATAAAAACGAGGACAACAGCCACGCCCAGTGCGTATTGGAACCAGACGAACTTCTTGGTGCGCCTCAAGTCAATGAAGCGTGCATCCTTAACTTCCTCGCCTGTCTTGCGGAGCCGGATCACGAATTCAAGCCACAGCAGCATGAAGGTGAGCAACGAGACGACTTGAAATACAACTCCCGCGACCATGATGGCCCTGCCTGTCTCACTCCCAGAGTGATCGTCAGCCGTGGCTGCAATTCCACCACCGGCACCTTGTAGAACGAGCGAAATAAAGTCGCTAGTCATGAATGTTATTGCGTAGGTGCGCGGGCTGAAGCGGGAAATCTGCTGGCCGTGGACGATGATTATGCGGGAGAGGCAGAGGTAGAGGGCGCCAGCAAGGAAAGCGGGAGCGATTGTCAGAGGGACTAGATAGCTATAGAGACTGTCAGCAACGCTGTTCGTAGGGTCAGGGGAAAGCAAAGCTTACATGATAAAATTGTTGAAATCGAACGGGTTATCGTGAAGCATGATTCTGCCTGCGTAACCGACAACCTCAAGAATAAGGCCGCAGACCATGCCGACCATGAACCCCCAAGTCATGTATCGAATGCCAAGCCCGATCTGAGCAACAAGGAGCAGACCAAAGATGGCGGCATAGACGGCATTGCCAGCAAGTGTTGGAAGGTATTCAACTTGAGCGCAGCTGAGGGGACATGTTTCCACAGTGCAGTTGGCATTGCTTAGAAGAGGGCAAGTGTTTGAAATCTTGGCTGCGAGTTTAACAATCTCCAGGGAAAACAAGAAGGGTAAAAGGAAGGCCAGTCGTAGGTGTGTTGGATTGCACAAGTGGTGCGAGGTCCGAATCGATCATTACAGAGCGCCCTTGCTGTATAAATACATTGACATTCTTCTCACTCTCTGTAGCATCACCATTGAATCCGAGAATTCCATTCCCTCACTGTCACTGACCTCGTTCTGAACAAGGTTAGACACGTACGAGATCCTTCTGCAGCACGTGCCGCGAGGCTCAATTTCGACTCCCGCGTTCCATGATTCGCTCCGTCGCAACCGCCCTTTCAGATGCGAGATTGCGAAGCAACGAAGCCACGAGGCTTAGGAGCCCGAGAGTAAGCAGGCAGGCAGGTAAGCGTTGAGCCCTTCCGCCATCGCTGCGCTGTCTACCTAGGACTGGCCAAGCTACTTCGAGCAACAACACATGATTGGCTCACTGCCGAGATCTCGTACCTACCTAACCAGAAACAATCTAGTAGGTGCCTCACCAAAGATAGTCTTGTAAGTGTCTAACTCAAAAGGGAAATGTGACTTTGACAGGCATTCCGGAGAGTTGATGGATGAGCTGGGGTTTCACAGATGATAGGTTGACTTGCCCGCTACTCAGTGCACATGGCGGTGGCGGTGTAACGGATATGGGGTGACTCGGGCGACGGTCGGCAGGGTAATTGACGTGGATGTCTCGGTGTCAGCTAGCAGGTTATGTGTAGAGATATGAAACACTCCAACAAACATCAATCGCGGCATCAATCGCTAAAAAGATCTTGAAAACGCATAATATTACCCGAGAACGAGAATGAAGTTTAGTTCCATTGGAAACAGAAATGGAACGGAGTCGCCAGACAATCGTTAAGCAAAGGGACCGCGCCTGAACCAGGTTCAAGATGGACAAAACCATGAAGCCCTGGCAGATGAGACAAATCGGTGATGAGCGAAGGATCGATGACATAGGGCTATGTACTTCGGGTCATAGAACGAACCTACCGTCAGTAGTCCCTTTTCTGTGCGCTGACGCGTCATTCGCAAGATAAAAAGAAAAAGACCCCGAACCATCCGGATGCAGTTTCCGGGCACCAAACACAACGAGCTGAAATGCCTGGTACTTCAAGTTGCTTTTTGGCCTCTAATTTGATGTTTTTGCTAGTAAACACACGCTCTGAGATGGACCAGGCATCGGCTTCTCAACTATTTTGGAAAGCTTTCATTCCATCATTCTACCCTGGAAGGAAGCAACCAAAATCGGCGCGAATCATTGAGCAAGCATAGTGTACGATGCATTGCTCACTGTTGAAAACTCTGCAATTACTTCGTAGGCTACACAATTCATTGGCCGGAATCAGCCAGCGTACCAGCCCAAATCCATGCCATTCACCATTGAATCGAAGAGGGCCTCCACCCCCCGATCCGAATACGACGCCATGGCTGGCATCTCGGATGGAGTTCCGTCATCCGTGTCCAAATCTCCCAGAACGACGGCAAAAACACCAGAGAGGAGCAATTTCTGATCCAAGGCAAGATGTGCCAGGAGGTTTGTACTTGCGACGTCAAATATCTGCATCGCCAATGATACCAACCGGAAGAGAAGCGAAGAGGGCGCTTGTCGCCGAGGAAAAGTTACCACGTCCGCGGTGGAGTAGCATAAGGCCAAGATCTTCAAGTTTCCATCGATGATTCCATTCTTGTAGCATAAGACGAGGAACATAGTCGCGAAGCTGTAGGAGATCCACGTTGAGTCCACCGAGTATTTGATGCGGTTGATTGCCTCAATGTCGGGAGTGTATCTGCCCCTAGGCAATGAATCGATACTTTTATAATGTCCCCAAGACCGGTGTCTGGATTGCTCTGCGAGTGCGAAAATAGTCAAGGCCGCCGTGTGCAGACTGACCTCCAGCGCCTGGAGCACGTAGATGGATATCTGGCCCTGGCCTCCCGACGGCCGAAGGAGTGGCGATAGACATGCGCTGTTGATAGAAAGACGATAGGATCGCAGAGTCGTAAACGGCATCTGGTAGTGCTCGATTTGGTCGCCGATGATGGGATTCCAGTCTGTCTCCCACATGTCTAACTCCAAATTGACCTGTCGCAAGCAGTCGGCATCTAGTGAGCGGGCATTGGGGCTTCCGCTTCTTCGTGCGGCTCGTTTAAGAATAGACACAAGTTCGCATGTCGCTGAACTCCTCGTGTCGTCGGGATGAACAGCGTTGTCGTTTGACCTAAAGCGGCCAGCAGCGGCCACCACCGGATCCGGGTTTAACGTCGCCGGGAGGCCGCTTGAAAGCGTCAAGGCGGCATCGCAGGTAAGCAGATTTATCCACACACGTAGTCGACCGACATCTTCCAGTGTCGGGAGTTCGTTGTTGTCTGATTTGAAAGGGAGCACTGCGTCTTGGTGTAACCCGAGGAAAAGGGCATACCGAATGGCCAGACCCAGCATGCTCCATGCTGAGATGGCGTTGTACCTGATAGATCTACTGGAATTGCCAATATTGTCGACGGGCATCCATTGTATATATAGCAGTATTGCACGAATATGATCCAGATTTACATCGGCTAAGTTTGGTTTCAAGAGAAGACGGCTTAGGGAGTGGTCCAAGAGTGAGATGAGAGCCATGTAACGACGTTGCGTCTCGGTTGTAGACGTACTGGTGAAGCGGTATCCGATACAACAGACAGATATGAATAGCGCAGGGCAGGACCGCCGGATGATGGCCGCAGAGGTCTGGGTTTGTGGGCAGAGCACCGGTGCCCATCTGTGACAGTGATCGAAGAAGGTATCGAAGGTTGCTTGGGCTTGCTCCATCGTCATGACGCCACAGATTATCGGATCCAAGGCCTCGTTCTCCACGGTCATGTCGTGGATGTCGTGGCGCAAGTGGCGGAGCATGGACATGGGAGTGCTGAAGTCCACAGAGCCGTCAGCACCGCTTCGGCGCCCGGGACTAGGATTTTGGAATATCGCAGGCCCGTTGGCGCATATCTCATCATTGCGGATCTTTGCTCGCTTGGAAACGGGGGATGTCGCTGTCACGCTAGCCCCATCGTGCCATCTCCTCGTGCCCTGCGGCGATGGGCCTGGCGGGTTTGCGACGTGCAGATCATCGAGACTGGAATCTGGGGTCCTGTTCACTTGAGAGACGACAGCGACGGCAGCACTGAGGTTGCTCACGGTAGCCTCCAGCTGGCTGATGCGGCTGGCCTGCTCATTAACCTGCTTTAGAAGCCGATCAACTTTGCGGGCGCTTCGGCTAGCGGCATCCAAGTCGTTGAAACCCTGCTCATTGGTCGCGGCGGTGAAGGAGCACTGAACACCCGAGTGGGCGCATCTCCGGCAGGGTTGCCGGGCTTGGTCCTCTGGTGCCGATGCCGAGGCGCCGGCGCTACTGCCACCGCCAGGCCCCGAGCACTTCTGCTTGCGACCGCGGCATTGGGCACAAGCTGCGGCAGATAGGATGGTCAGCGGATCATACAGCAAAATATGAACAAGTAGGGAATACGAAAAAGATAGCAGCATGCTGTACGTACCTTTCGAGGTCCGATAAATCTTTGCCGAGGGTGGTCCGCCGGCGCCCCAGTCGGTGTCGGCCACAATCGCCTCATCGACCGCGAGCTCGTCGTTAAAACCGGCACGTAACCGACTGTGATCCATGATTTCCTGGCCGCTTTCACTACCCACGACCCGGCTGCCGGGGGTGTCTTATTTCTCGAGAAGGATGCCATGAACAGCGCTAATGGTATCTAGGTTCTTATCGCTGGTGATCGGGCCGGTGCCGAAAAAGCCGACGTTGATAACGGCGATAGCGACGCAATGTTCGTACCGCAGCCCGAAGTACTTGAACCACGGGGCCGGTTCACGACAACCTAGACTAACACCGGCGTTCCAAGCCCTCATCGAGGGACAACAACCAGCTTTCACCATGCCACCAGCTTCCATCTCGTCCGGCGAGGCGCCCAAAAATGCGTTTAAAAGCCCAATGGACGACAGCAAGAATGTCGAAATGCAGGTGGGCACCACCATTGAGGTTCAAGCCCCCTTTATGACCGACGCTGTGCACGCCGCCGAGTATGTCGAGTATCTGCGCCTCAAAGACCACTTTACGGCCGATCCCAAGGCGCATCGGAGTTTGATCCTGCGCCTCGATGCCCGCATCCTGCCCTTCCTATTCATGTACTACCTGCTGAACTCGATTGATCGGTCCAATGCTGGCAATGTCAAGATCTACACCTTCATGGAAGACACCAACATGACCAATACCCAATTCAACCTGGCCTTGACATGGTTCATCATCATGTATGCCATGTTTGAAGCTCCATCCAAGTGAGTCATCTTCCTACCCTACTAATGGTGTCTCGTTTTGTGGTCTCCCTCCAGCGTTGCTGACCTTTGCAATGAACGATAGTATGATGCTGCGCCGCATTGGTCCCCGGATCTGGCTGTCATCGCTCGTCATCTGCTGGGGGTGCGTTACTATTGGCGGTGCCTGGGTCAAGAGCTACCACGACTTTGTCATCTGCCGTGTGTTGCTCGGCTTGTTCGAGGCCGGAATGTATCAAGGTTGCTTCTACACAATCAGTTGCTGGTATTTGCCCAACGAGCTGCAGTCTCGTTGTGCGTGGTGGTACTCGGCAACTCTGCTATCCGGTGCTTTCGGTGGCCTACTAGCATACGCTGTTGGCCCACTTCAGGATCATCACGGCTTGAGACAGTGGCAGTGGCTTTTCATCGTTGAGGGTATGGATTACCATTGCCAGCTGGCCATTTGGATGGGAATTCATTGCTGACCGAATCTGTCTCTAGGTTGCATCACCGTCATTATCGGTAGCCTCGGTCTGCTACTATGCGTAGACTTCCCAGAGAGATGGAGCTCCCGATGGTTTAGCGCAGATGAGATGAAGTACCTCAAGTTGCGTGTCAAGTATCGCGATGGTCCCGTGCCTCCCGACTTGACATTCCGCTGGAGCGTCTTCTTTGAGGCCGTCAAGGATTGGAAGACCTACCTTGTCGCTTCTCTTCTGGCCTTTGGTGGCTCCGTGCCAACATACTCTGTCAACTACACTCTGGCAACGGTATGCACCCCGAAAACGCCATTGAAGGAAGTTCTACGCTAACATTCTCTTGTGATAGATGGTGAAGAGTCTCGGATACTCCGCCATCCAGGCCCAAGCTATGACCTCCCCGCCCTACGTCTTCGCCTTCTTCTGCGTTGTCGCCATTGCTTTCTATTCCGATCGGTATCAATGCAGGGCCCGGTCTTTGATCATCAGCTACACGGTGGGCACGATCGGCATCATCATCTTATGGCCCTCTTTGCACTATTCAAACCTTTCCGGGCTGAGCTACTTTGCTCTGTTCCTTGTCATCGCTGGCTACAACATGCAGGGCCCGGCAGTCGGCTCCTGGCTCGGCACCAATGTGCGCAACCCGGCCAAGCGTGCCGCGGCCATGGGCTGGATGTCAACCTGGGGCCAGCTTGCTGGCGGTTGTATTGGTGTCAACATCTTTGTCAGCCATGAGGCCCCTACATACCGCTCCGGCTTCATCACCATCATTGTACTCGTCGCTATAGGTGGTTATGGTGCCTGCATCACCAACTGGTACCTACTTCGCCGCGCCAACCTTCAGAAAGACCGCATACCCCCAGAGGAGCTAGAGGGCAAATACACAGAAAAGCAACTGGCTGAAATGGGCGAGTACTCGCCGTACTTCAGATACGTTTTGTAAGGTGGATTGACTGGCTGATTCCTGGACCCAAATCAGAGAAGAAGGCGGGCCTAGACGAGAAGACATGGCAGCTATCAAAACACTACATCTTGATTTTCAATTCATAAGCAAGGGAGTACATACTTACTCTTAGTATGAATTTCTTCTATCATAACCCCCTTATTCAAAGTGAAGCTACCACAAAGTCCATCTCTTTTTAACAACTTCCCCAATGTACAATAGCACGCAAGAGCACGGAGAGCCTGGACCGAGGGCAAACATGAAGCCTTATGTAATTGAGACTTAATCGTCAAAAAAGAAAGCTTCAAGTCACTGAGTTGCTTTGCAAAATTCTATCACATGTCCTGTGAAAATTTAGGTTCCCTGACTTCGGCTGAGACTCAAGAGACTTTGGAACTGTTACGTTGTGTTCCTAAGCTTTTGTGCTGTAATATTCCATCTCTACATCTGAAAACTACGCCGTTTCAGAGTATTCTGCCTCCAGCTCGATCATTTCTTTGAATTGCGACATTAATTGTTCCCCCTCCGCTTCTCCCAATCTTAGCAGTGGGCGTCTGGGATCCATTCCATATCCGTGGAGTTTGTGCAAGACATACTCTGCGTGAGCATAGTGTTAGCCAAAGTTACATCATCCCCATCATTCCGATAAATGCAAACAACTACTTACTCATACCCCTTACACCTGCAGGCACAGCCGCCACGTCGGCATTGGATAGGATGGACTGGATTCCCTCTGCTTCCCGCTTCTCGTCTTCTGTAAGGTCGGGCTTATTGAGAAGTGCCCACAGCCTCATGGAGGCAGCAGGAGCGAAGTTGGGGATGCCGCTGACGGTTCCATGGCCGCCGCACTTCATCCATGGCGTCAAATCGGAGATGAGCCCGTCCAAAAGCAGGAAGGGATACGGCCGGCATGAATTGACTGACGGCTCGCTATTGATGAAGGATGATAGGCGAATCAGTTTTGCGACGCTGCCACCACAACTATCCCAAAAGGTCAGTCTACCAGAGGTCACGAGAGAACACAAACATGTCACATCATATTTTTCACTTACGTGAGTTTGACGCCGCATAAGTTAGGCGCTTGACGTATCACCGCCTCGATGATCGCCGATGACATGTCCAAACCTGCCGAGTTTGCCGGAAAATTGTACAGGAACAGGGGAATCTGGGGATTTGAGCTATATCCATTTATTATGATTGAGGCGGAGTCACTGACCGGTGACCACTTGCATATATCAACGTAATACTGAATGATTTGTTCTTGGTCGGTGCTCAGGCTAGCAGCGTAGTAGGCTGGGAGAATGACCAGCCCTGCATCTCTGTGGGTTGCAAACTCAGCCATGGACTAAGGTGCAAAGTAAATTGTTGCTGAAGACTTACGCTCCGGCATTGGCGGCTGCATTTGCGAGTCTGATAGTCTCTCTGGTGCTAGAACCACCCACACCTGCCACAATAGGCATGTCCGTCATGCCAGCATCGTCAAGTGTGCGTCTGATGAAGTCAATGAGAGAAACGCGTTCCTCTGGTGACTATGATCATGATGTTTAAGGCAAGGTCCTGCACATGGAAATGGTTCAGATTGGATTTACATACCAAATGTACCGCTTCACCCAACGATCCCGCGCACACGGGGTCTAGATAATCAGTGGCGGTGTTTCACGGGGTAATCAATGTTCTGCAGGAAATTTGGGCCACTCACTGATTCCCCTTTTGGCGAGGTCTTGCACAATGACTTATTAATATGAATCACGTTAGGTTAGGAGAGGGAACAATAGCTAACTGAGTAAATGTTTCTTGTACGACTCGTAGTCGATTTCTTGGTCGTCGGTAAAAAAGGTTGGTAAGGGTCCGTAAGCCCCTGGCTTCAATGTCAGACCCATCGCGGTGGTTTGTATGTAGGACGAGGAAGCAATGCTTGTAATCTTGTATCTCGAAAAGTAGATACTGAATATGATAGATGGACTTGGTCATCAAACCGAGTTCAGCTGGGCTGTCTGGAAGATAATGAGGTACAGCTACATGGAGGAGGTGGGTCGGTCGGTATGAACCCGAGCGGCCCGCTGGCCGATACAACCCAGAGGTCTTATCATTCACGTCACATCTTTCACTTCGGCATATGTGGGGCTGGGTCGGAGAATACCTGAATAACCTCCACTTTGAAGATAACAACTACCAATGAAATACTCTGTATTGGAACTAGCAGGGATGTCTAACCTGGGTAGGTAGGTAGTTGTGATTGGGATTTCATCCTGGTCCTCAGTCCACTCCCGCCCATTTCGCTCAAACAATGTGTACGTATGATTAATTGATTGCGATCCCATTGGATATCAGGACGCGTGCGGATGCAAACCTTTCATTATTGATCTTTTTGTGTTCGTCTGATGCAATTGAGCTTCGTGCAGCCAGTTTCAGCAGCATCTATGCATACTTTGGAAACCCCACATCCACCGGGTGTGACAACACAGGGACTTCTCTGTCGTGGGTAGCACATTGAAGCGTTCACAACTTAGAAGCCTTTTTAATTGTCTGGCTGTTCCGCCTGAATGCGCTGATCCTAGCGAACATTAGCTCCCAAGGTCTCACGGAGACGAATATTAAACGAACCTCTCATCATCTGCCAGCTCGAACAAGATATCTTGTGCTCCTTTCCAAAGGACCAGCTCGCCTAACGCTCTGAGGTTCTCGGCACCCTCAGTGATGGTCAGGAAATGATTTGCAGAAAGGGAGCCCATCTTGCTCGCAAACGATACGCCGCCGTAGCAGAAGAGCAATTCCGTTTCAGAGTAGCCTCCGGGGTAGAAGAGAATTTGTCCTGCTCCAGGGTGGCTAGTGTGGTTTTCGAATCCCAGGCCGAAGTCCTGTTCACCCAGCGGCACCCAAACCGCTTCGCCGCTCCAACGTACGTGAATGAGTTGTTGCCGATATGGTAGTAGATTGCGAAACACCACCACCGTCTTGGGAGCCGCCGACTCAAAGGCCGCCAAGAACTGGTACGGTCCAGCCGTGATGAGAATCGTATCTTGAGACGTCATTGTAGGAGGGTGGTTTGTCAAGCTGCTGCGCTGTTCATGGACGGAAATGAGGCAAGGCAGGTTCGGGAGGCCTGAAGATCAGTCGCCGCAGCATACGGATTTTGTGTGTTTCTGTCTGAGGAAGGGCAAAAGCCTATCGGCTCGGTCGGCCAGCAGAGGATCGGTCCGGTCGGCAATGAAGCCGCTGGGTGGGGTCCGGATTGTGGTGATATATTCACCGGAGTTCTGTTGCTGATACTCGATCCATCTGATAATTCCACGTCGCGAGATACGCATTATTGAGCTAATCAAGTTCCACCATGTCCGCTGTTGCGATGATCCAAAGTCTTCCGCGGAGGTACGGAAACACGTTTCCGCCTAATGAGCAGCAAAGGGTCGGGGATCGCGGCGGGAACCACCAGCAGATTCACGAGGGGCACATCATCATCACTCCGGTCCTGCGAGACGAGCAGTCATCCTTCGGCGCTCGAATCGACGGAATTGACTGGTCATCCCCGCTTCCCGCCGATGATATTGAAAAAGTGAGCACACACGATTGAGTTTTGGCTAGTAACGCAACTAGGCTTTTCTAATAAGCTGAATGTGAATAGCTCAAGAAGATTCAAGACAAATACGGCGTCTTGATTTTCCGCAAAACTGGCCTGGACAACAAGGGACACATAGAATTCGCCCAGAAACTAGGCCAGGAGCTTGAGATCAACCCTTTCTTCTATGGTATTGAGAACGACCGCATAGGTGATCCGCTACTGTGGGACGTTAGCAAGTATGCAAGGCTTCGTACCTGATTTGGGAATTTACACGACACTGATTGGCTTACTTGCAGTATCAACCTCGACGGCACCACTGTACAGCCCAACCAGAGACGATGGGATCACAGCTTAGGCAATGCTTTGTGGCATACGGTTAGTTCCAACATCATAACATGAGATCGTGTTATGGTAAGTAGTACTCACACAACGCACAGGACTCTTCTTTCCACCAACAGAGATCAAAGTACTCACTGTTACTATCCCATGGCAATCCCGTCAAAGGCGGCTTGTGGACTCATTTCGCTGATACGGCACGAGCTTATGCTGATCTGCCCCGATCCAAGAAGGATGAGTTGGAGGATCTAATTGTCGAGCATGACCTGTGGCACTCCCGCCGGTTGGCCTCCCCACAGGCTTTTGCACAACCTCTGGACAACGAGCGAGCGGCCGAGAAGTCGGCATACCACCGTCTTGTCCAAATTGGGCCGGACGGGAAAAAGACACTCTATCTGGCCGCGCACGCCAAGCTGGTACTGGGGCGCAGCTTTGAGCAGAGCCAGAAGCTGATTTGGGAGCTCATTGATCACTGTACACAGCCAAAGGTAAGCCTGAAGAACGCCCATAAAACTGTTCTGGGGGCCTATGCGTAAGGCCGCTGACCTGTACTAGTATGTCTTTAGCATGGAGTGGCTAGATGGTGGTGATATGGTGTGGTGGGATAATCGGTGAGCATTTTATTCATTTCTTTTCCCTCACTAATCTGAGTTCCTGCTTTCAACTCTACAAATAATCTATGCCATGCGATGTACTGAGATGTGCCAACCGGTAGGAAATCCATGCATCGCGCGAACCCCTACAACATCGACATGACTGCTCGTGATGTGCGACGAGCTACCGTGATCGATGACGGGCCTCTGGCATTTGGAGTAGATGAGAAGCAGGTATTGGATCACGGGAGAACGAAATAGTATGTTAGCGATGAGCAGTGCTTTCATATCGGTCAGACTTTCATGGGCGGAAAGGTCGAAGGAAGTCTGCTAGGGCTACAAATGGCCGCACCTTTAGTGTAAGCGCTGTATGGAAACCTCTTCTTCCCGTGGAACTTCCCACAAAAGATGTGAACGACTCATCGGGAGCAATGCGCAAGTCTTTAAACACCTAGTGTAGAGTCGGACTCGACTCTCGTAAGCCAGAGTTCGTCCGTGCGTGCAGTGGTGAAGAAAATCGATCAACGGGGGCCCGACTGGCAGGATTTGGAGTAGTATCCGGGCAGATAAAAGAAATCGTGTCTGTGGAGTAGGAAGAACTTTGTCATGCGGCTGGTCCCGTGCGGTTCGTTCTTTGGCGATATTTGCATGAAGCAAGGCTTACCTCAGATAAACCTAATTGAAACAACGAAGGTGGGGGAAAGTGATAATGTCGCCGCTCGCCGCGCCATTTCTCCCACTCTTCATCTATTTCCCAACAACAGCAAGCCATCATCACCACCTGAACAATCTCTACCCTACGATACCCTAAGTAGATTGCCACTTATACGTGAACCCAAGCCGCAATCAACCACCAAAGACCATGCAGAAAATCGAAAAGACTCGTGTCGTCATCGCAGGTGGAGGTCCGGTTGGCTTGTTCACGGCCTATCTCTTTGCCCGCCAGAAGATCGAGTCCATCGTCTTGGAGAGGCGCCTAGGCGTTTCCAACCACCCCAAAGCACATACGATCAATCCCATGACGCTAGAAATATTCCGACAGGCAGGCTTAGATGTTACTTATATCCGAAAACATGCAGCAAAAGCCGAAGATGCCGGACTGGTGCGTCTTGTTTATGGCCTGGCCGATGCCGAGATTGGCTGCTTCCCCTACGAACGCCAAGATGACAAGGTACGCACTCTGACACCCGAGCCTTTGGTGAATTGGCCGCAGCCAGAGCTAGAACGCCTCCTCGAGAAGGCGGTAGTGGAGACCGGCCTCGTTCAAGTCAGGAGGGGCTGGCAGGTCGATGCAGTCGACATTACGGGTGTGGAGGGGACTGGCTGCGTTGTTTCGTGCAGTTCCAAGGGACAGGATCGCGACATGAAAACACTTAGCATCGAGGCCGATTTCGTCATTGGTGCCGATGGCGCCAATTCGACCGTGCGGGATAAGACGGCCGGCATTGAGTTTGAATCCTTGGGAACAGGCCACGCTTACCAGTCAATTGTCTGTAAAGGCAGCCTGCGCTCTGCGCTTCCGCCGGGTCGCGAGGCCATGCTCTACTTTTGCTTCCACCCCGAGCATCCCAGCGAGTTCATCGCACACAAAGTCGATTCCTCCTTCGTCCACGTCGTTCCTGTCATGGACCCCGCGTCAACTGGTGGACAACCCAAGGCACCACCAATTGAGGCCTGCCTTCCAGGTCTGCAGTACTCGGAGGTCCTTCGTACCATTTGGGAGACTGCTCCTCGGGTGGCATCCTCGTACAGTGACGCAACGCTCCGTGTGTTTCTTTTGGGAGATGCCGCCCACAGCTTGCCGCCTCAGGGTGGTCTCGGTCTCAACACAGGCATCGCCGATGCACACAACCTGGTGTGGAAACTTGCTGCCATAATCCAGGGGAAAGGCACCCCGAACCTTCTCACCAGCTTCACCCGTGAGCGTCGACCCGTTGCACTGGCAAATATCGAGTACTCCAAGGCTAGCGAG